AAGCCTTGGTTGAATTACGCCAAGAATTTCAAGGCCGTCCCACCGAATTTATCGCTCACCAAGCTGACGTTGGGTCAGACACCTCAATCACCTCTCTCTGGGAGTTGCTCCACTCCCAGAACACCCTCGTCCATGTCCTGATTCTCAACGCAGCGCACATTCACCCTCTTGGTCCAGACACTTTGTCCATGGATAAAACCGCGCTCATGGAATGTTTCGATACCAACGTCGGGGGGAATTTCCTAATGTCTGCTTATTTCGTAAAACAGATTCTCCGTCCGACCGGGTTGAAGTTGCACCTGGTTAATGTTTCGACAGCAGCCGTAGTGTATGCACCCGCGCCTAGTGAAACCCCGTATGCGACATCCAAAACTGCGTTTACGTCGTTGTTAGGGACGGATTGCGGATGAGCGCTCTGTAGGATGATGTTCAGATTATTTCGTTCCATCCGGGGATCCTGTACTCGGAGTCGGTCGCCACAGTCTTTGATCGCGACACGTTTGCTTGGGATAAATGTGTGTTCGAACCACTTACTTTTCTTCCTTCGTTTCCCAGCCCCTTTGCTGACTTGATTCTCTTGTATTCTAGTTGCCTTACCGGCGGATTTTTCTGTCTGGGCAGCGTCTTCAGAAGCATCTTGGTTGCATGGCCGCTTTGTATGGGCTCATTGGGATGTGGATGAGTTAAAATCCGATGACGAGGTTTTGAGACGTTTGCAAGAAGAGAACGGATACCTGAAAGTTGGGATTCAAGGATTCAATGCGATTACCATGGAGACGCTTGGAGGTCCATGAGCTGGTGTAGGTATGTAGAGGATTCTGTAGACTCCGCCAATGAGTATCTTTGTTTGTTTTCTAGACTTGTGAAGATTTCGGTACCGTAGCTTCGTACTTTGTATGCTAATCAAATAGCAAGGGCCCTCTCCCCAGCAATACAAAACGGGATTGAACCAGAACGGAAAGCGTATAATAACTAAATCTTGATAGGATATAGCGAGTCGCTATTCGACGAGATTGCAAGTATGAGTACCGATTATTCAACTCTAGTTTCTGGCTCGAACGACTACTTGTGATATGAACACATTCGAATTATTATTACCGGTAACGGTGAAACATTATTGTAACGAAGAAAAGCAAAGTATGTAACAAGATTTATACAGACGGCAAGAGTAATGCTTTCGAGCATAAGCAGGCGGGCATATGAGTAAGTTCTGAGGAGATCTATATGACCAGTACGATTCTGGTACGACTATGGGGACTATGAGGACTATGGATACAAAAAGGCGAACGTGGAATGCTTGGATGGATAGGGAATCATGGAGATTAATCATCAAGAGTGCAGAAGCGAGCGAAGAACGGAATCGGAAATGGGCATCGAGATGCAGAGATAATAGCAGGTTGTGATACGATTCTGAAAGAACACTGTTTAGCTTGTGATTCAAGGCGTTGAACGACGAAGAGATACTCACTCCCTACTCCTCCTTCAACCCCCAGGCCAACACGCCCGTACACGGCACATTCATATTCGACGTATGTCTCTTCAACGCATCCCTTCTACTAAACGTCTGACAACACCCTCCGACCCTCATATGATCATGGAACAAATACTCTTCCGCCCCTTCCGGAATCTTCTTTCCGCCTTCCTCAAGTCATGCGTCGATTAAAGTCGTCCTTGCGTTCCACTCTGACGCCTTTGCACCACCAGCCCATGGTTCTATCCTCCTTATCAGCCCTCGCATGAGTCTTGAGATGACGCTGAAAGTCGGGCAAGCGTTTGTTGACTTGTTCCCATTTGCAGACGGGACAGATAAAGTCGCAGGAGCTGGCGGAAGTGCTGGATAAGGTGGAAATGGTCTGGACGAGGGCAGAAGAGGAGATTTGGAGGTTTCGTGATTCGGGCACGATGCGGCGGCGTTTGCGTTGCTGGGTTGGGGAGTCGAGGTAGAGGAACTGGTAGAGGTAGAAGAGCTTTTCTTACGTGGTCCAGAGACGCGACGACGAGGCGTAGCAGCAGCTCCTCGACCGCGTTTACGACTTTGTCGGGGAGGCGCGTATTCCTCATCGTCATCGTCGTCGTTACCGCTGAACTGGTAATCGTCACCGTCCTCGTCGTCGGAGAAGCTACTGACCAAGCGAGCCTTGGATTTGGACTTGGACTTTTTTGCGTTTAAACGCGACGAGGAAGATGGAGAAGCGCGTTTACGAGGCGATGGAGACTGAGGAGACTGTTCTGGAGCAGCTAACGCCATAGTACCAGGGCTAAAAGCTTTGTGTGGGACGGCAGGAGAGGCGAAAGGTGCCGGAGAAGGTGCAGACGCAGCGGGGATCGGAGAAGGCGAACGATCTGCGAGGAGGAACGTAGTAGGAGGAGACTGCTTTGGAATAAAAGGCGCATCTGCATCCACATCCCTGTAAAAAGATAACAAGTTGGTAAACGCGTCGATGCGTGAACAAAGACAAAAATTAAACGTACGCGTATAATAGTGCTGCCAAACTTGGTTCTAGCTTTGGCACATACACATCCAAATCATACATATCCTCATCCTCATCCGTCTCGGACTGGTCAGATTCAACACCAAGATCGATATCCTCGTCAATGTCTCCTTCTGCATCTGCATCTCCGAGCTCAACGTCGCACAAAGAACTCGTGCTCGAGCTCGCAGAAGAAAAACTAATCGGACTCAGGCCAGCAGCTAAAAAAGGTGCCGCCGCCTTTGAGCTCGGTTTAGGAACCACAAAGGCGTTCGAAGCAGGAGCAGTAGTAGTAGAATCACCATCGTCCCCGAATTCCATCGCGTGCTGCTGTAAAAGAGTATCAAAACTATCATGCTCGTGCTTTTGATTTTGGATAGCGAAACAGAGGTTGGCGAGCGAGTCTTTACGCAGATTATCGAGCATGGTGAGTCGAGTATGTAGAGAAATATAAGCAAGCAAAGTAAGACGTCGATGTAGAGGGCGCACGACGACGACGCTTGTATGTAGTGGTCAAAGAACGAGAATGAAGAACAAGTCCAACTATTTATACACATATTCCCCTTTCATCATCTTCTTTCTAGGCGCGTCCAAGTTCCTCGGTTCAGGTGCCTTATTATAATTATCCCCAAAAGGAAAAGGCCTTGGCCCTTTATCGCGATTCGCCTCGTGTCCATCGTTGCTTTGTGCGGGGTTCCAAATTCATACAGCTTTGACTTGGACCATCGCCCTATGGCACCAAGACAAACAAAAGGATTGTGTATTTTTGCGTTTCCGAATATACGCCACCGGAAACAAGAGGCGAAAGAGAATAAAGACCGTGTTGAGCATCGCGACGCGACGCGTCGAGGCGGCCGGAAATCTTCCGGAATTAATTAACGCGTATTGCGTAGGTATGCAGGTAAGTAAGTATGCAGAAGTAAGTATTCTAAGAGCTTTAATGAATGACGATAGTGATCCTTCTATGGATCCAAATGTTCTTTTCCGAGATGTCTTTGACCGTCCAATGCAGTCTGTAAAGAATCCAAAATCACAAAGTACATGGTAACGGTCAAAGAAAGTCAAAGAAAAAAGAAAGAAAAGAGTCAAAGAGGTCAAAGAAAAGTCAAAACACGCTCAGCCGCCTAGGCACCGATGTCTGGAGTGTGAAAGAAAAGAAAAGATCTACTGGCAAATGAGGTGAGCACGAGGTGGGAATACCGCGACTTGTGTCCAATGTGAATGGCGGTGATAACGATGACTTACTTGGAATGACAGACATAATCGTGTAATCGTGTTGGTTTCACTGTAAATTAGCGCCCATCAAAAATAAGCGGCTGCTCGAGAAAATCATTCCGTAAGGAGCAAGTCAAAGCTGGCGCAAACCCGACCTAGCGTATAGCGAGTCTGGTGTGAAGCGTACCGCGCTCCATCTCAGGCTAGTTTAAACTTGAATGCCAATGATGATATGGAAGTTAGAACAACGCAGTATTAAAGTGACCGGATCGGAAAGCAAGGTCAGTGCACTCCTCTTGCGCTCCTCATCACCAGCGTCTTATAGTAACTTGGTCGGAGAATCATGTCAAAGAATGAGACATTCACCTTCTGTTGCCAGTGTCGGATTGCAGATTGGATTGGACTTTGAAAAGAAAATGGCCGTCCTTGACGTTGATCCTGATGATTTTGCTGGTCGTTTACTTCTGTAGATCAGATTTTCAACAAGCATAATCGTCGGTAAGCCTCGCATGTGCCGTCAAAATCCGGCAGAAAAGGAATACGTATATCTTGGGTAACTGGTTCAATATACCTGGTCCATCCACGACTCATCGGATTCGTTACTGGCGACTTCTGGGCTCAGGCCAAAGGTAAGGTTAACCAACCGGAGGACTGTAGGAGCGCAGACCGTAAGCGTTACTGTTCGTATACAGACGGTACACTCGTATGTACGGGTAACCGCATGGGATGCGTCCGTAAGGCGATGAGACTCGAGAGTTTGACGGAGAGGAAGGACAAACTGAGCTGCAGAGGCATCGTAGACCACCTGGATTTACGCGCTGGTACCTCGGAAGAGTCGTGCTGGCAGCTGGTAAGTGGTAGGGAGCAAGTAGACGACACGGAACTTGGAACTCGGCGGAAGATATTTTCGGACTTGGGATGGACGTTGGTCTTTGGATTTTGATATTCGAGGGGAGGGGCCAGTGCTGGTGCCGGCGACTCGGACGCGGAAGTCGTGTGCTCGATTGTGTAACCGTGCACCGAACCGATCTGCTAGTAGATTTTTCATACGTTGTCAGTAACCCAGAGCGTTCCTGCCACCCGTAGCCGAGTTCGGACTTGAGGAAACGTTCAGTCACTATAGAGGATATAGCTGTTAGGAAAATGCATAACTGTACATACGAAACCAACCAAACTGCCTACGGAAAAACGCGATTCTTCATGTCTAAATGCTAATCGAAAGAGATTAAGAGATTGGTGGTGGTCAAAGTCGAAGCGCCTGCGCCGGCTTACTAACGCTGGGCACCTGTTCACATTAATTTGTGAAAAAAAACATGGACAAGTCCGGAATTGAACCGGAGACCTTCCGCATTAATCGCAACAATCAGTCGACATGCAAAGCGGACGCGATAACCCCTACACTACATGCCCATAGCATATTTCATTGCAAGTTCATCCAACTCCAAACATCGCACATCATGAATAAAATTCGCATATGCAGTTGATTGATTGTAGTGTCAAAGCTCATGCTAATATTGAGTCAAGGAATCTACAGTTTTCATGCCAATGCAGATTCTTCATATTGAAACCATGAAGAGCTTGGTTTGGCCATATTTATGATCAAGCTACTCGATACTAAGGGACAATCTCACAGCATCCATGAACTGCCCAGGATTATCCCAATGGACCTGTTTGAGAAATCAGAGGTGTGAACAAGGATTAAAGAGTGGTACATACAAAGTGGTTTGCATCAGGAAGCTCGATAAACTTGATTCGACGGCCAGAATTCGCCCGAAATTCAAGCTCTTTGAAACGGCGCTCAGTCTCAAAAAAGCTGTACACACAAAATGAGTTTGTAGACTTGCACGCCAAAAATGTAATGGGTAGGCTTGGAAACACATTTTGTGCCAGCTCAGAGTCAAAAAGCGCGCGCTGTGTTTGCTTTCCGAGCTCTATCTGCATTTTGAATACCAAAGGAAGGTCCACGATATTGACAGGGACTTTTTCTATTATCTCATCCCTCTCAGCAGCTGTGAACCACTCCACTGAAGCATTATCGCCATGCTTTCGCGAATCAAGATTAAAAAGCTCCCGTGAATCATAACCTGGGTGTTTGTAGTACTCAGTGACCCAAACACTAAAGTTGGTAACCTTGGCTTCCAAGGTCGTGAGATCGGGATCCTTGAAGGGGTGATAACCATACGTTGGACCTGGATATCCTAGTGAAGTGAAGGGTGGATCTGCAGAACATTCAGCACGACAACCAGATAAAAATAAATACAGGGTTGCACCATGAATGATTAAATGTCTCAAATAAAGACTCAACTTTGAATACTTTTCCACTGGAACGGCATGGTGTTGGCCAAGTAAGGAAAGTGTGGCATGATTGCCCATTGACCATCCCAGTAAGGCAATGCCTCCGGATTTTTTATCAAGGGAAGCTCTCGGAATTTGCTGAGTTTCGGCAAACCAGAGGAGAAAGTATGCGAGCTCATTTCCTACGATTTCCAGAAATTCCTTCTTGCCTTGATTCAGCAGCGCTAGCTCTTTATCTGTATATGGACATGAACCCTTGCTTCGTCATCAATACTGCAAGTGTGTCCGATATTTGCTGCGTTCAACTCACTTTATACTCTCTCCGAGTTAAAAGAACTATGCGCATCTTGTGCTCCAATCCGATATTTAGTATGCGTCCAAATATTCCTGAGATAACCGATTAAATCAAGGGTACCCAAGAAGTATCCTAAAACCAACTCACCGCTGTTGAAGGAAGTGCCATGGACAACAACCAGTGTAGTGTACTCGTCCATTTGTTGTACTGGGCCCGTATCTGAAAACAAAATGTATTCTCCTTCGTTGTTGACTGGACCATTAGGCATATTAGTGTTGGAAGAGGTCGTTCAGAAATAAGCAGATAGAAGGCAGGGAACGCGTCCGCAAACACATAAGGAACAATAAAATTGAATTGGGGTATACAAGAGTATACAAGCAGACAAAATAAAAGGGGTCCATGAAAGCTTTACCTTAACGTTGACTCCAATCTGAAATCTAATGCTTCCCTGCTTCTTGAGCATGACAGGGAGTGAAAGCAAAAAATCTGAAATCTAATGCTTCCCTGCTTCTTGAGCATGACAGGGAGTGAAAGCAAAAATGAAGTGGAGAGCTTTACACCCCTATGATGTCAGAGCTGAGTAAGTCAAGCATAAGTGTAGGTGGGGTCGAATTGAACACGGATGTGCTCCGTGTTGTCGACATGGTTCTACCTGTCCCTTCTGCACCATCGTCATGATCCATGAAGAGCTTCTCACAGAGAAAACATGGTTGCAATCTGTGCTGGTATCCAAGTACTGGTGCATGCTCGACATCTCCGTTCAAGCCCGAGCCATCTTTTGAGTTGACTTGCTCATCTTCATCTCCGTCTGTGACAATATCCAATTACTCTTGTACCGTCAACTGTCTACACTGCGACCTCCAGTCAATGAAAATGTCACTCAGTGACTCACGCACCGCAATAGAAAGCTAGTATTCGATCTTTCGACAAAGCAGTTCCAACCGGCTATACTACATAGCAGTACTCTGCATTTTTACTATCGAGCACCAGTTTCCGCCAACGCAAATAGTGCCTCCTTGTCACTGGACTCCTCTACGAGAGCGCGGAATGATCCATCCTCTTGTCTCAGTAAATCAGAGGGGGTACCAAACTCGACCTGTTGATAATGAAATCATGTCACCTACTAGCAGGCGGGAAGTGACTCACAAGATTCCCTGCATCTAATACCATCTATAAAAAAAAGGGGAGGGATTGTTAGGTTAGGGAAACAAGTATACGGAGCGTAACGCACGATTCGATTGGCGTCCATGATGGTTTGCAACCGATGCGCAATAGTGATCAAAGTCACGTCGCCCTTGAGTTCATTACGCAAGGACGTCTGAATGATATTGTCTGTCTTGTAATCTGCGTAAACTGCCATCAGCCTCCAGATTAAAACCTTGAGGATGATACTTTACCTATAGCTGACGTTGCTAAAATCGCGAGCTGTGAGTAATAAGATGAGAAGATAAAATAAACGAACAAACCCTCATCCAATATAAGTAAGTTTAGACGACCGAACCATTGCACGCGCAAGGGCCACGATCTGCCTTTGTCCAACTAGATAAATTACTCCCTCCGCCAGATATGGCGGTATCCAGAGTAATCCTATCCTCATCTTCGGTCAGGTCCTCTTGAAGGGCAGTCAGCCCAGCAGCGCGGAGTGAATCATTCAATGTCAAATCATCAACCTCCTCAAAAGGATCCAGGTTCTGTCGCAAAGTGCCGCTGATAAGCTCCGGCTGAGCGGGAGGGTGTGAGTGAAAGTGATGAAAGCGATATCGAACTATAAGCCTACCACTTGAGGGATAATGGTGATTTTGGAACGTAAAGAATCCAGATTCGTGGAAGAGGTGGAAATCCCGTCAAACATGACTTCACCGGTGGTGTAGATGCACCGTAGCAGCGAAAGCGTAAGAGAGCTCTAAATTTCATACAGTGAAACGTCGTAAACCAATAGCGTAAATGCTTACCTTGCCCGATCCAGTTCGACCCACTAGGAAGGGATCGAAGGGTGAGTCATCAAGTGAACGACAGGCTAAAATCAACACTCACCAACCCCAATACGTTCACCTGATTTTATGTGGAAGGATAGATTGTGAAGGACTTCCGGGCCATCCGGCGAATACCTTGCGCACAAATTTTCAACACGAAGGTCCCCACTTGCAGGCCAATATGCCGGTGCTTTCCCTTGTTCGGTCGGTTTCGGCTCTTGTTCAATTTGCAGATATGCCTCGACTCGTTCAAGACTGTTACTCTGGCCTTCAAGCATGTTCATATTGATAATCCAGCCGAATATAGCACCTGTGAAGGTTACTGCAACAAAGCTACGTCAATAGATGGTGATAACAATACTTGAGGGTTTACTACCTCCCATGTTGAGTGAGAAACCCGTATTGGATGCGTTGTCCTTCTTGACATAGACCAAGTACCATGCCAGTGTACCGATGAACAAAGCCGAAATCACGTGCATCCGCATCGCCATCCACCGTTGAAGGTTGTAGAATACTCGCGCAGAACGTGAATATTTATCGATTCTACTGAGCAGCTGTTCGGTCACCATGGTTTGCGCTCCATATGCACGGATTGAAGCTATGGTTCGCTTAGTACAGGGTACTTTTGGAACGAATTGTACTCACTTAAACCAGCAATAGTCGCACCAAAACTATTTATGACTTTAGATGAGCATTTAACGGTGAAGAATAAACGGGCTTACTGGCCAAGAACCGGAGCTTTCGCAACGGACATCTCCCGTTTCACGCTCATTTGCGCTTTCAAGTAGATTGTTCCACAGGTATATCCAAGACCAAGGGCTGCAACACCGGGGATAAGGAAGATTGGACTCAAGATGATAATCGCTGCGAGCTTTAAAAGCAATTTGATCGTTTGGTCGGCAGTGAATTTGGTCAGTTCGGGAATAGTAGTATCGACTGGGGCAGACAGGTATATTAGTGATATAAAGCACCAACGTTGAGAAGAACTGACTGGCATTAATATCCTGAGTGAAACGGGTAACGATACGAGACGTAGGAGTCTGGTCCAACCATCTGCACCATTCGTCATATTAGCTCCTAAAAGATCTTCGTTGTCAAATGCACCTACCGCATGGTGGTTCCAAGAATCACCTCCGCCAGCTGCGCATGGATCCTTTGTGATGCTCTAACAGCACCAGAGATGAACAAAATACTGGCACAGGTGTTCCATGCAATGATCACCAACAAACTACCGACTAAAAAACCAATATGATCAGAAGGAGACGCGGATGAGTACAATACACCAGCTCACCATAAATCCCGAGGTAAAATACAATGGGAACTTCGCCAGGTCGCTCGTACTGAGAGGCCCAATAACCCAAGAACCAAGTTTGAACAACGCCCATTGCGTGAGTCAAGAGCATCATTCCCAACAACACTGAAAAGTACAAAACCGCATGGTTACCGCCAATAGCAGATGTGTATAGCTTGACTGTATACGAAACTGTTAGACGCAGTTTGCATTGGATTCCAAAGTCCAGCTCACCCGAGTTCCCGCTGATGCGACCTTCCTGGATTTCCTCGGCGACGACAAGTTTACCGTCGGGTTTGGAATCACCTTTAGCAGCGTCGCCGCTTTCATCATCGACACTAACATCGCGGAGAGCCTCATGCAAGGTATTGATTGGCACAGGAGTGCAATATCGGCACTCAGACACTTGACCTTCCTTCATCGAGATGACAGCGCTCGCGATGGGCTCGACCAGTTTCACGTTGTGAGTCTGTTGTTTTAGCTCGTTATGATAATCTACAAAAGAGAGGTTGTGACGTACCACCAGTACGACTGTTCGATCTTTGACGATGTCACT